CTGAGTTATGATCTCTAGAAGTCATCACTATCACATTGTCCGAGGACTTATGACTCAACCTAATACATACATATTTCGCAAAAAATGAATCAATGATACAGGGGTTGTCTCTTATATTTCGGGAATGGGCAACCCTAGCGTTGCAGTATAGCAACTGATAGCTCTATCTTAAAGTTTGACATTTTTGAGGTTATATCTACTCAGAATATTTTGAGGTATGAGCGCTTTTTGTATTGTTTACACAAACTTAAAAAATTTACTCAGGCCAGACCTTCCCTCCGGCGCCCCCATCCCCCACTTTGATCCTTCCCCCTTAACCTCCCCTCCCCTTCGGCGATGACGTTCCATCAAGGATCGGTGCTTATGGATGTATGGGGATTTCAACCGAGGTCGTAGTTCACTCCTAGAGAATTTCGTGGAGGTCGTCCAAATCAGTTGCTGTTCCGGAAAACATTGATGCTTTGTGCAAACTAATATTGCAAGATCAAGAAGATGTGACCTATCGTGAGGTTGAGACAACCTTAGGCATTAGTGGGACCAGCATACATTCAATATTGCATGAACATTTAACTGTCAAAAAGATTTTTCCACAAAATTTGTCATCGCTCGAAAAAACGCTCGTGTCGATTGGTCGAAAGAAATGCTCCAAAAATACGATCGCGGTGCTTCGAAACACGTCTATGACATCGCGACAGGTGATGGATCACGGATTTATGGGTATGGGCCCGAAAGTAAATAGCAGTCGGCCGAAAGTAGCCGTTCAAAATGAGCCAAATCCAACAATACCAAGCAAATGGTCGTCTGTTTTTTGGCAAAACTGGACATGTCGCAACCGTGCCACCAGAACAACGTAGAACAGTCAATTCTGAGTGGTACACAACCATTTGTTTGCCAGTTGTCTTCCAAAAAATCGGAAAAACCAACTGCCGAAGACGGATCACTCTTCACCACGACAATGCGAGCTCTCACAAATCGGCTAAAACAACTGCAATTTTGAGCACTCAAATATCGATTTGATGTGTGTTCCGCAATACAGTTACCGAGTGACTCCTTTTCATTCCTGTACGTTAAAAACTACAATGAGAAGTCAACGTTTCTAGACACCTGAAGAGCGTTTGATTCGTTCAGAATGCATGTTTTGGAGATACCTCAGTCAGAGTGGCAAAACAATTACTCTCCGACAATTAGTTCAAACGTATGAAGTGTATAGATATCAATGGGGAATATTTTGAAAAACAATCAAGCGATTTTCAATGATTAATATTTATTTTTGTTCTCTAATCTCGAAATATAAAATGTAAACTACGTACCAACATAGGAAAGGCACATCAATAATAATAGAGCCACACTTTTTCAGTAGATATCGGCCATGAATTTCTTTTGCACTGCTAGAACATCCCCACTGACCATACTATCTCTCTCATTTATAATGCAGTAACTTGATTTGCCGGTTTGTTGGTATGTCGGTGTGTCTGTTTGTCGGTCTGTCCGTTCGCAAAACTTTGTGTTACGTTAAAGGTAGTGATATGGAAAACCCAATTCTACCTTATCTTATGTTATCTTGTGTGACTACCGGCTCTTGGAGGATAACCAATACCAAACTGGTAGCAGCGCGCCCTCCACCCGACTGCAGATGAAGGTACGATGGGTTTATAATTTCTTTATTTCCCTTGTTTTTTCTTCTCCAAATTATAATTGCTTTCATTTCCTCAACCTTCCTTTTGCCCCCCCCCCCTCCTTTTCTTAGCCCTATTATGGTAGGTCCTGAAGGGCTGCCTTTGGACTGGTTGTATTAGGCATAAGACAGCAATCCCATAAGGACTCCTCGCAGCATTCAGGGATCGTTGTCTCTTCTTCAGCTCACTAACTTTTCATACTGATCAGAGAAGTGTTCGCTGACAGTTTTCATAGTCTCTTCTCTCTGGCTCTCTTTTCTTAACTTTTCATTTTTTCAATAATTACAGTACTCTCTGCCTATGTTAAGGTTCTCCGTGGCAGTTTTTCCTATCCACACTACCCGATTCGTTCTTCTTTCTTTTTTCATTTCTAGCAGCCAGAGAGAGCCTCCTACTACAAGCCGAACCAATCGGCTGTATTTTATATTTTCTTTCCTTTTTCTTTCCGCGGGTTGGGTCTACCCGCCACTTCTGTTACTATGATTTATGTTTTTATTGTTGCTCTTTTAATATGGCCGCCCCACGCCAGTTATGATTGGTACAAGGTCTAGTCTAAGGTTGCTTCCAAGTTAGATGAATATGGCATAAGTCGGGAAGTTTTAATTGTTTAGGTTCCTTTGAATAAGAGGTTTGTGCGCGACGAGGGGTGTTGGACTCTCTTTAGCTACAAGCATTGCATTGGTGTGGTTCTCCACGGGTAGACACCCTGTAAGTACTGTGCTCAGCGTTAGTGCAACCAATAGTAGGGGCAACAACAATCACGTACTCTAGTAGGTTCCACATAGTTCAGGTACATGTACACCTCTGGTTTAGGGATCCTGGAATCTTCAATTTTTTCTCTTATTCTGTTTCTTTCCCTTTTTTCGTCTTCAAGCGCAACTCACAGAATTTTTCTTTCTTTCATGATTATAATCCTATTTCATCTTCACTGTGTCAGACATACTTCATGTGTCTGCTTGTAAGATTCGATTGTCCATTTTCAAAGATTTCCAGCTGAAGAAACGAGTGTGAGACGTACCCAAAACACTGCCAAATCATATGCTATTTTGTTGCTACCCTAATAATGCCTCATGAAAATGCGCAAATAAAACTAGGGAAGTTAAACAGCTAAAAAACCGCGACTGTTTGCACGGTATTCCTACCCTGTATGTCCCTTTCAACGAGTAGAAGCACTAATTAGGAAGGATTTATTTATCGTCCCTTTTCTCGACAGAAACTTCGGATCAGAGCATACCAAAAACAGAAATTCAACAAAATGAGGCAGAGTAGGAATAAATCTGATGAAGTCCTTGCTGGAAACAAACTCAATAATTTCTAATCTGAATAAGGCCATCTGCAGTCAAAAAGGTAATGTACAATAGCCGATTAGGATACAACGAATACCGTGCAGAAATTTTAAGATTCTTCTCGAGGACTATGGTTCATTTTCTGTTACCCATACGCTACAATGTTGACTGGGAGAATAAACTGAATTGATCGGACAATTGTATGCAACTCGGAAGGCTGGATAATTCTGAATTGTTCCGAACACTCTGTATTTTGATGGCGAATGAGGGTCGACCATAAGTTGTTTATATAGCAAATCATCTGTGCGTTGCTTTTCACACCAGACCTAAAATCAAGGTTTTTATACGAAATGATAAGTCCTTAAAGTACAGGTGAGTAATCATTAGTGACGAGGTAATCTCAGCTCACTTGGGCAAAATTCAAGAAGAACAGCTGATCATGGGTAAACTGTCCAAAGAGTCGATCAGGCAGCAAAGGATCCGGTCCATTCAAGGCAATGTGCGTGCGATAGGCACGGAAAGCAGCGTGAATACCTTCGACAAGGATAGTTGTGGTTGATATACGAATTCAGAAAGATATGAACGCATACCTCCATTATCGGCGATGTTTTCTCCTTGCGTCTGAGCGCCGTTCACGCAGTTTGGAGTGTATCTACCGGAATCGAGAGGGCAGAATTGATTATACTCTGAAGTAAGTACACATTTCCAGACCGACGGTTGAAAGTCCTAGTATGCAATAGAAGTGATCTATGAAATTCTTCGCTAGAATGAATTTGTGGTACTGAGGAATGGCGTATGGGCCGCTATAGGACCGGAAAACGGCCTAGACAGTGCGTAATGAGGACTCCAAAACCGTTTCGTCGACACAGACCCTCAAAAGGCTGTGTTATGCCGGCCTTGTTATTACTGCACTATTTATGTGACTAGGGAATAGTACGCTCAAATAAGAAGCACTCCGACCGCCAACTCGTACACCCCTCTGTTGCTATTTTTGAAGCCTTATATTTTTTAAAACCCAACAATTCCGCCCCTTTCGCCACCATTATGCTATTCCACTCCACGGCTGACCTTGAACCGCAAATGTCCTGAAACCAAGTAACTGGCTCATGGTCAGCATATGCAATGTAAGACGCACATAAGCACCGTGGGAAAACTCTCTGAATCGGACTTAGATCAATGTTTTGTATCCTGCCTTAGCAGGTGTGACTCAACGCACCGTTGATAACACATTGTGCCATTGAATTAAATCCAGCGGTTGACTGTTCATCCATCCAGCCGGTGCAATTCTGATTAGCTGGGAATGCGATCTCTCCTCCCGGTCCCCATTGCACACCTTCGTCGTCGAATCCATGAGTCAGTTCGTGCCCTTAAGCCGTTATAATTGTGCCGGGAGCTGGAGTATTAACATGTTAGAATCTTACCCGCAACAAGGCCCATTCCTCCATAATTTATTGAAGCTGGCCATTGTGGGTGGAAATAAGGAGGTTGAAGAATGCCAGCAGGGAATGTGATGGAGTTAAGTTCTGGCTAAAAGAAATACCCTTGAAAAGAAGATTGTAGAATCAGAATAAAAAGAAGAATTGCAAACCTGATACCAAGCATTTACTGTACCCGGTTGTCCAAGGAAATCGTTACGATCAGTGGCAGCAGCATTCAGCTGCTTATATTGAAGGCCAAGGTTGAAACTAAAACTCTCAGCTTTAGGTTTTGTATAAAATTCAAAATCACCCAGTCATTTGATTTTCATTACCGACACCTCGCAGACCATAAAAATATGAATTTTCTTATACAACTTTTTTAAACGTAAACCTGTAACATAGTTGTGGAGTGATAATTTGTAAGCTTCTTTATCTGTTTGACGCTCTTTCTGCCCAGCTACGATCCCCGCGAAACTTCTGGTGGGTGACAGGACTGAACTCCGCCTGCTGGAGGCGTGCGCGAAATTAATGTTTGACCGTAAATTTATAATTCCTGCCCTCGTGGAGAGTTCGAATTTGTTAAGAGCACAGGTGGCAGTATATGAGCTCTGATCATATGTGACAAGGTTGGACTCCGCCTACAGGGGGCGGGCGTGCGTGAAGATAGTCAAAGTGTGAGCATAATTTTGTTCGTTTTCGATCTGTTGTTCGTGAAAGAAGTTAACTTCAGCGAGCTCAAATCGGTCATTGTAGCAAAGCTGTCTTCAAAAGAGATGACTCCAAAAGAGCGCTTCAAAACCCTGAACACGAAAAAGACTTCAACTCTTATCTACAGTCATCAGAGAATACCCATCTCATTATTAGACATCCCAGATGAATGGTCTCATGAGCAGCAAAACAATGAGTGAGTATCATAGATCATGAAGCGATGTAAACACATTCCCCTGTGATTCCTCATACGAAAACGAAGAACCTACATTATGAGTTTGGTCCACATGTCGTAGTAGTTCTCCTTTGTGGGATCAAACGTGAGATCGTTATAGTAAGCATCAAGTTGTTTGTTGTCCATAATCCAATCGGGGAAGGCAATGTTTTGCACTGAAATCATGCGCGAAGTGACAGCGAGAGTGGTTTGCAATATCGTACCCAATCTTTTACTCTAGTTTGTAACAATAATAGTTAGCATTAGCTCCCTCGGGCTTTAGGATACCGCATGCTTCAAAAACCTGCCCGCCTTCCGTTCATCTAATCATTTTTCAGATTCACTGCTCCAGAAATAGCATCAGTAATGATGTCATCCTCCTTCTTATTTGTGTTTAATCGAAAAAGATAAATGGGTCGTACAAGTACGTAAAGCCCGTAAGCCCGTAAAGCGTAAGAAGTTTTTTCCGCCTACTAACAACGGCAAAACTGCAGGGCTCTGCTTCTGAAAANAAAACAGCATTTTTTGTACTTGACACTACTTATTTCACAATAGGAGACGTTGAGAAACAAACCGATTCCATTGGTCTTTTCGATGGCTTTCTTCTTGATGTCAGGTGTCATCCAGTTCAACTCCTCGATCATTCCTTGGAAAGAGTGGATCACATTTTTGATTACTCCGCCCGCCTTCCTGAAATTGCTCTCCGTCAAGGCAGAACGATTTTCGACGCAATGAAAAAGTCCTGCTTACTCCCTGATCATGGCTTTGGAATCTTGATCCGGATAGAGGTAATCGATGAAGACCCGTCCGTTCGCGAATTGCATCAAATCGTTGGCCATTCCAGCGCAGCTAGCTTGAGTATCAGCAAGTTGATCGCTCCTCCCAAACCGAGACACGCGTCGCTTACGGCCCAGCACCAGTGGCTCCACCTAAAAAGTATACCTAAATGGAAGAGCAAGTTACAGAACATGATATCTGCCAGTTTTGGAGTTTCATACCAAGTACGACACGATCTCCTGAACAATTAACCTGTTGCAGTCGATGATGCCGATCGCTCAATGACACATTTCACGACAATTTTGGGGAACCCTTTTTAGGTTGAAAAACGGAAGTGTTGATGTAGAGAAGTACATAGACGGCGAAGAAAGCGAAAATAACTGCCTACTTGAAGCTTTTCGAAAGTAGTGGAAGTGGAGATTGTGGGAGATCACCGTGACAGGAATGTCATGCAAGGGGTGTTTGGACGAGATTTAACTTGCTCCCACCGTACAAAAAGATGACTACATCAAACCATAACTGTCCAGAATTGCCTTTCATTGTCGCTATGGGTCATGGCAAGTTGTTTAAACTTCCTACTATGGTTCCCTTGTGAATGGTGCAGCTAGCTCAAAGCCGCCAAAACTCTTCCACTAGGGGTGTGGCTTTTACGCGATACAATCTCTGGTTCCTTATTGTGCCCTATCCAGGACGTTTTTTGCCTTTACAACGACAGGTATGTTATAAGGGGGAGCCTCGATTCATACTTAAGGGAAATCTCAGGAACCATTCTTACCGTGAACTGTGCCTTTAGGAAAAACGAACCTGATGGTATCTATAACCTAACTTGGCAAGCTGCACAGTCGCGCTCTTCAACTTTTAAAAAGCTCATGAGAACTCTAAAAACACCTATAAAACCCGACGGCAATAGATCCAGCGAGCATTCCACCATGACAGTTACACCATTCGACCCGAACTTCCCACACATACTATTTAGGTCACTAACCAGTTATTAGCGCACAGCATGTAACAGCGCAGGACTACTACAATCGAGTGCGCAAACTTACAATGTAAACTATGCACTGCCCTTGGATATGGCAGCATACCTAGTTTATCATTGCAGTTGAACTCCAGGCGACGGTCAAGATTTTTCGGAACCAGCATTCAGCATTACCAACGTAAGACGTTTGCTGCTCAGTTCAGAGTCAAATGACTAATGTGCACGAAACGATTAATGTGAACAGGAAGGGATTAGGGTTAACTATGTAGCTCCATCTCATAAGGACTTTCGACCGTTCTGCAAATTGTTCATTCGTAAACACTGCTCAAAATCCCAGTGACCCACCACCAAATGCTTTGCTTGCTCACAAACTAGAGTGTTCAAAAAACAGATAAATAAAGGAATATTTCAGATGTGAACTGAAGCGTTCTTAAAGAATGAACGAATGCATTCAGTAGGGATTGATTCAAAATTCATGACAAAAGCCGACCTACCGGCATTTCAGTCAATGTGTCTGCATACGTCGGAAGGTACTGAACGTTTTGCAGAAGAAGGCGCATGAAGAGGTAGTTGATCAGCTTAGTTTTGTCCAGAGTACTGTAGTCGCTGTTGAACTTTGCGTATTGGGTGGGCTGAAAAAATATTATAAACTTGAATTACAAAAATGAAGAAGTTTTGGCGTTCACGCACCTCATACACAGATACCTGGAATCCAGCCTTTCCAACTGCTGCCGTAGCTGTCTTTGGCACCTGTAAAATGAAAATCTGATGAAAAAAACCTTAATTTCACTGAGCTATCGAGATTTATACCGATAACTTAGTCAGAAAAGCAGTTTCCCATGATGTTCTAGAAATCTGAACTGTTGAAACCGAGGTGGAGGATTGAATCCATTATTGGGAAGGTCTCCCAGGGGCGATCAAAAACATAAAGTGAAAGAGGTTAAGTCTTTGGGCGTCAACCAGTACGTCTGAGGGATGTACCCCATTCAGAATCGTAGTTGAATGCGTCTGTGTACAAGACTTGCGGTGGCTAGTCGATGTACAAATCAGTGCTTTTACTACTAGACGAATCTAGTACCAATTATCCGACCAGGGAGAGATGGAAGGCTTTGTTGGCCCAGGTGGATATGTTGGGACCCGAGGATTCAAACCCGAAATAATGCGTGTGCAAAGAGCGCCACTCACCACTACGCCACCTCCGCCGTACAAAATAAAAGCTTTTAATAATCAACGTCTTTAGGCACCATCTTATTAGCTTTTGCTCACGATGAAAGTCGTAACTGCCTCCTCAATGAATGAAGGCTTGCCTTTATCAATATTAACGGTATCATTTTAGCTATGACTCCCAATCGAAAAATGTTGAAAATATTATGAAAAAAGCCCAAACATTTGTTTCCCGCAACAGCAGCACATGCGAACCAAAGGGAACAGTTGTATTCCTTGAGATCAATTCAGATGGCTGTACCTGACTTATATAAGTTTTCCAGTCGATGAACGGATAATTCTTTTGAACATCGTCAATACTCTTCAGATTCCATGAACGAGCGTACGTCCGACGAGTGGTGTCGTCGGTACTACAAGAAGATTCGCAAACACTCTATTATTCAGACTAGCCAACACCTGTTCTGGAACCGTTAGTTCTATGCCCTCTCACCTATATGTGTTGGCTATCATCTGTTCGAACTCGATAAGACCTTGCACTTGATCCCTGAGGTTGGCGTTTACAGTAAGATTCTGAATAAGACAGTTTGTTTTTCCCTTTGAAGGCCAATATTTGAGGTGGAATTTTCGTAGCGAAGTTTTACCTGCTCCCTCATGAATCTGGTGATGATTTTAGTCGTTGAAGTAACGTAATCGTCCTTTACGGTTTTGAATGCATCCGGCTGATAATAGGTTTTGCTAAAAAAAGAATTTTTCCGAGTTCACTTGTGGCTATGAGTTCCAGGTCCTTATGATAGTAAGTGTTTGTAAGAATAACTTTGTAAATACTCTGATGTTCACACAAACCCGTCAAGATTCAGGGTTTTCAGACTACCGAGCGCTGCAAAGTGGGTTTTTGAAAATAACGGTGATCGATTTTTATTTTTAATCTCTATTGAGAAGAACAGCGTAGAATACTAGACACCGAGACAGGATTTCGGCTCGAATCAGTCCTAATCTGAAGATTTCAAAAACCTTTCTCTATCTTTTTCGACATCTATAGAGTATGACTGATTCGTGCCGAAAGCTTGGCTCGGTGTCCAGTGATCTTCGATGTTCTTTCCCTAGAAATACAGTAGCGCTCAGAAGTCTTCGGTGAAATGGTTCTTCAGCCGTACTTTTCAGTCGTAACGCTTTCCTACTGGATCTAATCTTGCGAAATTTCTATATTTGGAGCGTGGGTGTATTGTGAATATTTACCACTATTAACTTGGAATCTGATCATGTTCCACACATTTCAAAGAGCATCAAGACAAAATCGACTGAAAATACAGATGATGGCCCTTCTAGAATCTCTTTTCCTTTTGTCATGTCTAAAGTGTACGAGCGGTAATCCCGAACACAATAGATGAGAAAAACGCGCATAAGGTGCGAATAAGTGCAGACGTCGACAACTTTTAGTGACAGCTGCTACCGCTACAAACACTTTGCTCTATCTGTGGATATTGCAGCTTCGCAGTCAAGTAGTGTTGGGTAGGGTGAAATATGCTCTAGTTAAACATATCCAAATTTTGCGCGATTTGGTCAATTAAGAAAAAATTTGTGAACGAAAAAGCGTAGAAGCACTTCACCGAAGACTTTTGAGCGCTACTGTAACTCTGAACTGACTCAATGTGTTCAACTCTACGGTTCGACTGGCTTTTGTCTATGCTTCAGTTGAAGAATTCCGGGCTCTACTAAAGCACTACTCAAATCCAAGCAAAAAAGACCGTACCTCATGTAAGCAGTGTTCTGATCAAGGAACATCCTGTAGCCTTTTGTGGGATCTGCCCAGTTTGTGTCCACTAAAGGCGTTACAAGAGTATCAATACCCTAAATCTTATTCTTTATGGAATTGATAAATTGGAGACAATTAGACCAAAGAAACCCACCTGGTTGAATGACAAATACGCCATAGCGTTGGCTAACTGAGTAGGATTAGGCAGTTGGTTGACAGTGCCACCGTATACGTAGGTAAATGTTGAACCCAAAAATCCAGCCAACGCATCCACCTGTGAAAAGTCTCTTGGTGGAAAAACATTTCCATAGGTTTGCATGGGCAAATTTCGGAAACTGTTGAACATACTCGAGGCTTTAGGTAATTTTTATTAACGAGAATGCTTTGCGTCGTGGTATTATCCAAAGTGGCCTGGATGCAAGCGTCTGAGAACTGTTTTTCTTTCGTCAACGCAGTGGAATTCTAAAATTCGATCATCCGTGTATCATATTGAAGAGGTAGGTGATATCTGTTGGACCTTGATAGTAGCCTGATATGACGGACTGTTCAGTTGACCTGCCATTATCTGAAGGTTGTTGGCATCAGCAAAATGGAATGACACCTGAAATCAGTTATATTTGAGAACATTACCATTTGTATTCCAATATGTATAAAACACTCGTGGAGAGTGCAGCTTCTGAATTTCGAACATCGGAGACTCACCAGCTTGTCATACTTTCCACATGCATACTGCCAAAAGTCCGTGCACGGATCAGCCGATACGTTGACAGCGGGCTGAAAGTGACGAGACGTACAAAACTGATGGTGACCTTCCTACTTCATAGACTTTCGCCCCTTTCAAGCCAAAACAATGTCGGATTATGCAGGAACGGGTTTCAAGCAGGTTATCCCGACACCCTTACTCGTTTCGAAAATTTCCTTCAATTTCAGATTTCAATCGGATATTACCATTTTATTATTCAGCTCGAGTGCTATCCGCAGCCATTTGTTCATTAGGGTCTGCACGTTGGCGCTTGCTTCTACATATGTTAATCCTAAGTAAACGATCATTCCCAGGGCAGACCCAAGGAAGTCACCGTTGAGTTGTTCATGGTGTTCGGAGCGGAGATTATAGCGCCACCCTGTGTTCACAGAACTGATTTCAGGGAGCAAAAAGGACTTCTGCTTATGGTGTGATAAGTTTTCAGTTGGAAGCTTGGTCACCTGCAAAGTAATGGTTAGTTTTCTTCTAGGGGACGGCACTTTATATTCATTTGTTACTGGGATGCAAAATCTACAGTCTAGTCCATTTAGTCAAAGCTTCACAAACGGAACACTGGTCTCTCACGGAATGTTACTGAGGTAGGCAACCTGTGGCACTCAAACTTCGACTGTGCTGGAAAACTATCGTCGAGTTCCAATACAAATATAGACAGAGCGCTCAACGAAACAGCCAGGGCAACCATCCTAACAGTCTGACCGCATCTGGCTGTAGCGAAATGTTTGCCGTTTACTGTTGTCTCGCCTCAGGTACTTGGGTAGCTGGTCCCTTGGGTTTCTTCCCGCCCTGGGTTTCTTTAATGCAGCTGGTAACACCCTCAAATTTACTATAGGATCATGAAAAAGCGATGGACAATCGCTACTTTCAAGCGACAAAAGTTCTCAACCCATATGAGATCCCTATAGGAAGAGATCTACAGGGGAGGCATCTCTGAGGTCTTTCAGTTCCAGCTCGAACTATTCAGAAACGCATGGCAAGCAAAATAGAATACATGCTAGTCATTTTTGAGAGAGGCAAGATTCGAGCATGGAAAAAAAAAATCTCAGAATTAATCTGCTGTTTTTTAAAATGTCTTTGAAACGGTGGTTCAGTATGAAGTGACGTACTTCATAAAAGCCAACTGCTTGCTTGTAGGCGTTATACTTGTCAATGTCACTGGTCGTTATCTGATTGTTTGTCCTGACGTTCAGCTCACTTTTGACAACGGGTTCACCATACGCTAGAATGTATTAGGCCTATCTCCAAAAATACTTTTACTTCCTTATCTGACTTACAGGAATCGATATCGGATACCCACACGTCGCAGTGCTTGTCGGGAGCATAAGCCGTTGATTGGCAATGGAAGGCATCTTTGAAGGCAGGGAAGTTCTACATGAATAGCAGTAAGTTGTCAAAAAAACGTCCCATCCAAGGGCTAGAATTATACCTGAATCGTTCCCCAAACCCTGTACTGTGATGGCGAGTGCGGATCCACAAGGATCTGACGTTCCATTACGCTGGCTGGAGGGGGTGTTTGGCACCATACCTGGAAAGGTTATTCATCAGAAAAGAGGACATAACATAGTCATTCGAATACGAGGAAACAAGTCTTCTGTGATGAGAACATTGTGGATGAGGCACTACAATGTTGGCCAATCGCCAAATTAAAACTGACTTTGGGTA